TAAAATTTTTTTTTTTTTATATCTGGTGTATATAGATTTGTTTTTTTTTTAACGCTTTTTTCTCTCCCTCTATATATATATATATATATATATATATATATATATATATATATATATATATATATATATATATATATATATATATATAAAACTAAATTCTTGGTTGAATTTAGATTAAATCTAAATCTGCCAGAGTCTGGATATTTTGGGGGGTTTGGGGAAAAAAACACACACACAGATAATCAACACGTGTGTGTTTCCCTGCAGCCTCACCTTCAGTTTGCGGACAGTCCTCGCTGATCATCCCAGCGAGTGTGAAGAGCGCAAAAACCAGGATGGAGAACATGATGGTCCACACCTCGAGTTGGGTTAACAGGGATTCCATGGAGCCGGAGTCGCCTCCTCCCCGGCTGTGTGTTCACAGTCACAACACTGAAATCAGCAGTGCTGCACAAAGGTGAGGTCCCACCATCACATTAATCAGAGTTAAACACTTACCTGCTGTGTCACGGGGGAGAATCAGCCGATCACAAAGCGGCTGCACTCTCTGCTTTGCATTCCTCTTTCTCCCCTCCTCTCTCTGAGGAGGGGAGCCTTTCTCTCCTGAGGAGGCTGTGAAGAGCTGACTGACATCAAAAGGTGTCAAGTTTAAGTGGCATCGTATTAACTCTAATTATTTATGGGGACCTGTGACTCACTGTGACAATGTGTTAAAACAGACGATTGAACTCATAGCTGAGTTCTCACTGAATTCTGGGGGTTTTGAGGATCCTGAAGCAAAAGTAAAACCAGTTTGTTTTTTTTGTTCTTTTAAAGTTTAAGGTTCTGATATCTGTCCTGTCGCTCTGGAAGCTGCTGCTGATGTGCCGAGATGATTTACACCAAAGCGCGTTAGTGCGATCAGTGACCACATGTTTTGGCGGGTTTGCTTTTTTAGCATTAAACCACATTGAGTCCACACAGACTTCTCTTTTTGTCTTCCTGGGGTTTTGTAGTTTTGCGTTTCTCTGCACATCGCATGTGTCTGTATGCATGCACTGTAGGGTCGGAGGGCTTTTGACCTCTGAAGAGAGTCACTAATGTTGAAAATACACACGCACAGAAAGCCAGTTAAAATAATAATAATAAAATAAATCTTTAGCACTTTAAAATCAGCAGCCTGTCAAAAACACAATTTGTTTCAATTTCTTCTGTTAAAAAAAAAGAGCCAAAAGTAAAACAATGACAGAAGGGAAAGTAAAGTTTTAGCACAAATGAGGTGATTCCAAAAAAAACTTTGGTTTTCTTTACTTCGTATGTCTTAAAATCATGAGTTTCAGATGCTGTTTTACGCCATGTGATTATTATTATTATTATTATTATTATTATTATTATCATCTTGTACTTTTAGTAAGACATCATAATACAATGAAAGAAAAGAACAGAAATTGAAAAATAAAACTGAAAAACAAAAACAAGGAAAAACTCCACAAGACTTGCTTTATGAGTATGTACTCATAATTAAAACCTCTTTAAGATACAATAAAGTCTGACTCAATGGAGGTGAAATTGTTTCGTTCAGGAAATCAGACGCACAAAGTGGTTTTTACTCTGAATTTGCAGCAAGCGAATAAAAAGTGATTAAGTTGATCAAGGTGAAACAGAAATGTCTTAAAGGGACAACATTACATATTTCTCAGACACATAGTGCCATTTTATAGCACCATCACATAACTGTAAACTTCAGTTGTTATAAAAATGCTACATATATGAAGTATGACTTATAAGAAATTTGACTTCATAATTTAAAACCTTGAAATTGGTACTTCGTTTCTTTAAAGTCTTTTTAAAATTCTGCCTTCAGGAAGTCATCACATCACTCCTCAATTAGCCCTGTAGGAACATTTGACCAGCTTTGCACTGAGAAGTAGCTCATATAACGAGCTCAGCACATGCACAGGTATAGCAGGTGTTTGCTAATTGCTTCTGGCTAGTCTGAAGCAGCTGACTATGAGGGCTGCTCTGTGATGGGGAAGCTTGGAAACTGCAGCTCTGAGGAGGAGCTTTGTCCTTGTAGGCGGAGATAGGTCCACCCAGGCATTTTGCACAGCTGAATGGTTGCCATGGAGATTAAAGGATTTCTCAGGCATGCATCAAAGAATCAAACCAAGACTCCAGATATGTTTTTGCTTTGATCATTATAATATGATGTAAAGCTCAGTCAATTTTACATGATACTTCCCCTTTTAATCAATTACATTTCAGTTCACTGTCAGGCATTAGAGCAGCTTCAGGTCAAAAACTTAACAGTTCTCACCATAAAAAAAACCCATTAATTTTACCAGTGGGTTGTAAGAGAATAATAGAAGTGATTTGCTCATCACCAGTTGTTCCGGACTTTTTCCTCGATATCCCGTTTGGACGTTTGAACATGAAGTTTGAGAACCCCGGGTTCTCAGTTTATGCCTCCCAACCTCGGGACCACTGATATGTCAGCCATCCCTTTAACTCTCCCACATTCCTATTATGTCAGTCACAATCCTCATGACCTGAGCGAGTTGCAAAACAGGATCCACCCTTCATCATCCTTCATCATCCTCACACGCTTCAGCAGCACTCTCTGATTGGGTTGATTTTTCACTTTGTGTCCGGTTGGATGTTCCTGTATTCCTCACTCTAAGCTGGAGGAGGAAGGAGGTGTTTAATGTCTGTCAGCATATTGCGGCACCGCAGGGAGTCTGAGCAGTGTGTGTGTGTGCGTGTGCGCGTGTGTGTGTGTGCGTGTGTCTGTGTGTGTGTGTGTGTGTGTGTGTGTGTGTGTGTGTGTGTGTGTGTGTGTGTGTGTGTGTGTGTGTGTGAGAGAGAGACTGCTGTCCATGTGAACAAGCTGTGTAAGCTTATTAGCTCCACCACTGGTCAGAGGAGCAGATTGGGGTTAGTCTAAGCCTTAATCCTCGTGAACCTTATGCCTGTTATACAGGAAGCACGACAGAGTCCTTAGCCCCGCCTCCTCCTCACGGCCACAGACTGCTCACAAACGCGCGCGTCACAACAACACACGCCGTCCCTGCTGTCTTGTTTACCACTTTACTGGAAGTGGAGGGGGTTGTGGAGGAAGGGGAGCGAACGGCACGCACTGTTGAGTAGTTCCCCAGTCGCCATGACGACCTCACACTCCACCATCCTCAGAACTGTCTCCTTGTTGCCTCGGTGACCTGATCCCGTTTTGTCTCCATCCCTCCGATGATCCGGATTGGGCCGATAAGGGTGCGCAATCCAGCAGCCGGCGTCTGGTCTTCTCCAAGCAGCAGCCTCCGGTCCAGGAGCGGGGAGGCGATCCGTGATGGGAATGCTGGGAGCGCTGTGGGAGTAGCACCGGAACGTTGCCTGGAAACAGCAGCATGCCAGTACAGCAGATAACTGTGGTCCCGGCAAGAGAGACAGCCGGCAACGGAAAGAGTGCCCCTCGCTCCAAAGAAAAGAACGAGGTGAGATCCTGACCTGCACCAACACCAGCAGAACTCAGAAACAGTTCAACTCCACTCACATTTCAGTCATCTGGATTTCCTGGTGGCAGGAATCTAAAACACGTTCAGCATGTTTTTTTTTTATTTTCCTTCAATTATCAGCTGACTACTTCTTACTCTCCTGGTTGTGTGATGGAGATGCATGGAAACCTTCCTAGCCCTAAGACAGCAGCGGCCCTATCACAACTCGAAAGAAAGTAGTCCCAGAGTGTCATAGAACTCTGCTTCAAGAAACCTCATGTCATTAAAAATGCACGAAGCTACAAAGTGATTTAATCTGGCAGTGCAACGGAAACTTGAGGTCACAGGGTTCCTGGAACGTTTGTGTTGTAAGCGCTCTGCTGATGGTGCTCCTGATACACACTGTGTTGTGGTTGATTTGTATCTAGATCAGAGTGCAGGGTGGCTCGCCGTGTTTTCGTTCTGCAGCTTTGATATCAGATGTCACAGCGCAGAAGTAAGCTACGTCTGACCGTTGGATAGCAAAGCTGCTAAAGAATATTTAGGGCTTTCATAACTGTTGATGCAAATCCCAACCTACTTCTATGTACTTCTGTGTTGAAGCAGGCCAAATAAGTCAGGGATTAAAATGTATTTTTAAACAAGCTAAGACAATTCACAGACAACAATAGACTAAAAATAACTTCCTGTCCTGGTTCCCAGGTTTTAGCTCTCGCTTTCCCTCCAACAGCAGGCAGCTGATCCTATTGGATGCCGATTTAGAGTTAGAAAAAGTGGACCAATGACATCACCAACTGAGTTTTTGCTTAAGTTTTTTGCTTAAGCTGCTACTGTATTGTTTCTCATTGTGTGTTAGTGAAAATACATTTTACAAGAAAATCAAAAATTAAACATATTCTACGAAAACATGAAATCCTGTTACATCTGCAGTCAGTTATGACCCGAATCGCACAGTAAACTGAATCTCCTTCCAATGACAGCAACTTCAAGCACTTAGCACACTGAGGCAAATGAATGAGAGCAGAAAGAGCGTCGGCATAGCCTAGCATGAGCTAAAGTAATGTGATCATTGGATCACTGCTGCCACATCTGAGTAATATGTCGGTGTTTTATGATTTTTAGAAGAAGAATCTGAAGGTAATAGAAAGTAGTAAAAATATGACCTCCCCATGGCCACAGTCACCTTTTACTGTGATATTTCATCTGAGTCAAAATATTTTTCCTATTATTCTTATCCATTTTTATCTCATTTATGCTGAAGGGACAGCATTATGTAAAACTTACTATTTTGAGCTTTACACCATGTTATAATGTTATTCCTTCATCAAAAACATACCTGGAGTGTTGCCTTAATTACTTCATGCATGTTTGAGAAATCTTTGAATCTCCATGGCAACCATTCAGCTATGCAAAACACTTGGAGGAACCTAGTGCCTCCTTGGAGATGAAATTCCTCCTCTGAGCTGCAGTTTCCAAGCTTCTGCCTCACAAAACAGCTCTCCCCTTCAACTCCCCTACTCAGCTCCTTCAGACTAGCCAGCAGCAATTAGCAAATATCTGGTGGAACTGAGCTCTTTTTAGGAGCTACTTCTCAGAGCAACACTGGTAAAAATGCTGTTAAAGGGCTAATAGAGGAGCCATGTTGCGATGTCTTCCTGAAGATGGAGTTTCAGAAAGAGCAGAAGCTTTTAAAGAGACAGAGGCCCAATTTCTAGTTGTTAAATTACAAAGTCAAATTTCTTTTAAGTCATATTTGACATATAAAGCATTTTATAGCAAATGAAGGTAACGTAGTTGCTTGATTGTGCTCAAAGGTTTGTTTAGTCAGGTTACTTTGAGGTTATCGATTATTACTGTTTAATAAATCAAAAGCTTAGCTCTCCCGCCCTCACTTTTACATAAATATTTTAGATATTAATGGTATTTTGTGATAAAAGTTAGATTTGGTCATTTTATTGAACATCTAATCTAATTTACAACAAAACTGAAATACTAATGTATGCAACAACCATTGAATCTATAAGATAAGGAAAGTGGAAGCCCACATTAGTTATTTACTTCTCTGCAATCAGTCATCCTGAGCAAGCACAGAGCGACAGTGGAGAGAAACAAGATCCTGTTGAGAGATCTCCAGTAGAATCACACAGAGGATAGGCAGCAAACAGAGCCAGGTGTACTTTCTACTTCCAGGAACAACAAAAACAGAACTGGTAATTGAAACCACCATAACAGATTTGCATAAATGGTTTTATGCAAATAAAACCATTTTAATTTAACTAGAGTAAATATGTGTGAAGAAATGTGGTCACCATGTCTGTAGCAGCCTGTCTAAGTGTAAAGGTTAACTAAAGAGCAGAGAAGGAGCATTTTAAGCATACTGCTGTGAAAAGTGGAAGCACTTCTGCGCCACAGAAAAACTGAAAGCTGGATCCACCGGAGAGCTATCTGATAAATCAACTTATTGCCTCACATTTATTTTTGGAAACTCTAGGAAAGTGGAGTAATCCTGCGGGGGAAAAAGGATCCGTGAGTTTTTTAATATGCCACCGGGCCTTCTCATTTGAAAGGGCAGTGTTATGTAAAATTGACTTTTTTGACCTTTACATCATGTTATAATGTTACTGCCTCATCAAAAACATACCTGGAGTGATGCTTCAATTCTTTCATGCATGCTTGAGAAATCATTTAATCTCCCACAGCAACCATGCAGGTATCTAAAATGCCGGAGTGGACCTAGCCCCGCCTTCGAGACGCAGCTCCACCTCAGAGCTGCAGTTTCCAAGCTTCTGCCTCACAGAGCATCTGCTGAGCTAATTATGAGCTACTGCTCAGAGCAACGCTGGAAAAAATTTTGTTAAAGGGTTAATAGAGGAGCCATGTTGTGATGATTTCCTGAAGGCGGAGTTTCAGAAAGAGCAGGAGTTTTTAAAGAGACAGAGGCCCAATTTCAAGGCGTTAAATTACAAGGTAAATTGTCTTTTAAATCATACTTGATATATAGATCATTTTTATAACAAATGTGGGTGGTGCTATGTGGGTGGAAAATACAATACACTGGAACAATCTGATCTGTTGGCTGTCAGTATAAATCTCATTCTCCATTTATGAAATGTTTGCTGATATTTTAGTGAATCCTGTTTGTAAATAATTACAGTCATACAGCCTAGATATATCACATACATAGACTTCGGTTTTACAAATATAAAAATTATTTCATCATTCTCTACAGGCCATTCTGAAACAATCACAGGCTGTCTGCTTCTGAACGTAACTCTGTGAAACATTAAAAGTCCAGCTAACATTGACAGTTTGGACAGTATGGAAACTGTGTCTTTTTCACATTGCCTTGTGTTAAATGATGTTTATTTATATTGTACATCAAGCCGTGTGCATATTTTGGTTAATTACATATTCTGATTGTCTTGTCAGAATCTATAAAGTTTCCATGTACATTAGAAATGCTAAAGGTCTCACCAGGCATGTCCTGATTTTAATGTTGGTAGTGTTTTCATGTTTTCAGCTTATGCACAGATATTTGTGCAAAGAATATCTCCAGTTACCATGGTAAAAGCCTTGAAGCCACTGTGTTATTTATATTTTATTTATATATACTACAGTTTATGTTACATTTTAACACTTATGGTGCTTTCTACTAAAACCTGCTTAAATCTGCAGTATGTAACTTTTATGTTTTAAAAATGTTTTTTTTTTACATATTAAAATAATTAAAATAATAAAGTTATTATTATTATTATTTCATGGCAGTATGAGACAGATAATTTGTGAAAAGATCCAGCTCCACTGCTTTCTCCCAGTGCTCCCAGTACTAACTGGAGAAATACACCACTCAGTCAGAAACAACCAATCAGAGCCAGGAGGAGGGTCTTAGCGCTCTCAATCACTACTCACCCCCTCCTACTAGCTTTGTGCTAAGCTACAGCTGATTCACCACAACATAGCCTGCCATCAATGTTAAGGCTAGTTAGCATGGCCACCGATGACGGTGGCAAGTTGTTTGTCCACCATTAGCACACTGAGCAGCATGAGGATGATTGGCAGCACTAAGCCTAGCTCTGATTGGTTGATTTTGATCAGGGGTGGTCCGTTTCTTCAGGTGGCAATAGTGGCTTACAGAGGAAGTGGGGATCCATTTTTGTTGTTGTTTGTTTTGTTTTTGTTTTTTTGTTTTTTGTTTCCAATTATCTGTCTCATACCACCATTCTGTCACGATATGCTGACAGTTTTAATAAACATAGAAAAAACCTGGTTTTGTAAAAGTTACAAACTGCAACTTTAAACTATAAATATCTATGCCTGTTTAAAAGGCAGAAGATTGTAGCTCTCCTGCTAAGGATTCTTCTTTTTCCAAACATTTATCATTCCTTCAAGCTAAAGTTCATTAAAACATATGCTGCACAAATACAAACGGTGCTTCCTGGGTGCCCGTCTAAATGTGGCTGGAGGTGGAACCAGAATTTATCCGCCGGTCCACGCCACAGCACCTAATCCCCCTCAGCGCCAACCAGCACATGTCCATACACAGACTGTGTAAAGTCCTCTCTGTGACTCATACTCAGGTGTTCAGAGGAGCAGAGACTCAGGTAAGAGGAACACGTTTACACTGAAATGATTATTCTTCTGCAGTTCTATTTTTCAATGGGTTTTTCAAACAAGGTGCGTTGGTGAGTCTTTTTTTATGTGAATGTGTGACATTCTCTGTTTTTTTCTTGAATTGTTCTGTAGTGGTCACCTGCTGGTGTTTACTTTCATTGTGCATCTACAGTGCTGGAAGTTTTGTGTACTGTAGGTATCTGTTGACTGCAGAGGCAACCAGATGTGTAGAGTAAGTCAAGCCTGTCACCATAGGCAATAAATCAATCAATCGCATTATAAATTTATTTCCATTTCGTTTTTCTCTTTTCTCTTTTTCTTCTAAAAAGTGGATGACAATAGTTTTCAGTCTGGTGCTTTGGTTTCAACAAGCCCTTATTTTTTTATGA